TGGACTACACTAACGTGACGTTTAGGCGGTTCGTTTAACTATTATACATGATGTATGTTTTGGGGGGGATAGTTAATGTAAGTGTTCCAAAACGCGACATTAATTTCTTGACGACCTAATAATATGCTTATATCTTATACCCCAAAACACTCTTGAGCCTATGATGTACACCCTTTATACAGAAGATCGCTATTGAATGAGATGTATATAGGGTATACAGATTATTGCTTTTGAGGTGTGATATACACAATTTAGACAAAAGATTGCTTTGGGATATAATGTAAATAGATAATATAGAAAAATGCTTTTGGAATGCGAAGTACACATTTAATATACAGTACTGACCATGGAATTGTGATTTAATAAATTCAACTACAGGAATATCCTCAAGACTAACATATATAGGCACTTTTAATAGAGTGACGCCCTTAAAAGTTTGATTTACACACTTTAAAAGGGGATTCTCTTGACAAAATGGTGTACACAGTTGTGAATGTTAAGTATGATATATGTATTCGTAACTGAACAACGTTCTTATGATACAGCGATAATACTCAAAACTGGTAAATGTTCATAGATGAGAATTACGAAAATTTTCAAATTAGGATTACGTATTAGATGAATGTTCGCGCATTCTTGAAACAGAAAAATGGCCTTAAGGCTAATGTATTCATAGCTTGATTCTAGGAGCGATTGTTAAATACAAGGTATTTACTTCTTCAAAGAGGAAAATATCATATAACCCATTATATAAGATCACATAACCCATTATATAAGATCATATAACCCATTATATAAGATCATATAACCCATTATATGTATAAAGTTTTTAGTGTAAAAATAGCTTAAGAACTATAGAACTACAAAATAAAAACATATTTTAAGCTATTTTTTGGAAACTAGAATTTGAAACAAAAAGTAGCGAGCGTGTACGGTAAACAACAAAACACTGCAGTAACTATGGCACACTCACTTTAAACACAAGAAAGCTCCAAGTACTATGGCTTTCTTTTTTTCAGAGAAGGTACTTGATACACTCAGTTTAAAGAGTAGAGCGGCCTGTAACTGTGAAGTTTTCAGATTAACCCAAGAAACGTCACCGTGATTACCTTCTACACTCCTTTTAAACAAAATAATACCTCCTTCGACTATACATATAGATGTCCATGAAAAATAGTGCTTCTATTGTAAGTAATAAAGTTCATTCAGAAAAAGGATGTGGTATCTTAAGTACTTTAGACTGACGGCTCTTGTGTAGACTTTCAATACATATCACAACGCAAATGTTTTCATGTGCATAATAACTTTATTTGTATACTGTTAAATAAAACACATTATACATGTTTCGGTGGACAGCATGATTCACCATCTTCAGTAGACAAAGAAGGACACTTTATGTACTGTAGAGACGCCATTTACAAAACAAAATTCAATTCCTATGGTGGCATTATTTTATTTTATTGTTTTTCAGGTTTTTATGTACTCATATATGTATGCATCGCTAAAGTATAATAATAACCATGTCTCAAGGTGTGTAAGATGAAAAATGATTGAATTATTCTTTCTCTTTTTTGTGTGTGTGTATATTCATATTAGTAACTATATAATAAAAGCCACACTCTGTTGGAATGC